GCAGCAGCAGACACAGAAACTGAAGCCGTAGCTTTAGCCGTAGCTGTAGCCAAGCCGTTGCCATTGCCGTAGTCGTAGCTGACGCTGACGCTAAAACTGAAGCTGAAGCAAGCCAGCATCATTAAGCTGCGTTTAGATGTTGAAATAATTGAAAGGCACACTTAAAAGTTGTATGCATCCGTGCTCCTATTTCCACATCCACACAAAACAACAAATTGCAGTTGTCACAAAATTGTCACTAATTTGTAGCTGAATATTAACGTAAATGTGCAAACCCATTCTGCATCAAGCACATAATTTATGTTTCACATTTCATTCTTGAATATCTTGAAGACAGCTTATTTATACTCGTATGACTGCTGTGAATATTTTATTGCAAATTTTCTGCATGCTGATGATAATTTTTATTTTATTGATATTTTTCATGTTTAATTTATGAATAGCGCGAAGTAATTTGAGAAATGTAATTAGGAAAAGTTTAAAACTGAGGTTAGATAACACTCAAATATACCTTGCACAATAAATATAAGACCAACGTCAACAAATACTAAAATATATTAATGATTAATAAAAATAATTAAATATCCCTAACGATTATTTTAAACGGAACAAAATAAATTATTAAAATATCCAGTTGAACACATGAGAAAGCTAGAAGGCAAAGCCGAGACTTTGCAGGCTTCTTATTTTCAAAGATTTTTCAAAAAGGAATATTAAACAATTTCGTCAGCTTTTTGGCTCTATCAAAACGAAATATAAATAATATTTTCCATATAAAACACAATTGCAACAATATCAAAATATAGTAAATCATAAATTATAGCATATTTTCAGCGTTGCAAAAATATTATAAGCAAAAGGAAAAACTGAGCTTATAAACTCAAATCATAACAATTATGTTTTCAAATTGGTAACATTTGCTTTAAATCAATTCAATTTATATTTTTGTAATAATATTTATGTACAATTTGATTTTTAAGAATATAATATTTTCCTTCTCCGTAGACATCACCTACCACAGTTTTGTTTGACTTGCATTCTAAGCTAGATTCAAATCTATTTTATTATTATTATTCCTTCAAAACCTACTTACAAAGCACCATTTCCCCATCTCTCGTATTACGTGTGAACGAAACTCTTGTGGCTGACATGCGGGAGCTACGGCAGCGGGAACTTGGCTGTTAAATAAGCGTACATATGAGCTTTGGGTTTGGTTGGGTGGGCTGGGGATTTGCGCTGTTTTGGCGAAAACAAAAACCGACCCAAGTTTTTTAATTGACGTGCAAAACGCGACAACGATGGTTTAAAAAAAAAGGAACAACAACAGCAACAACAGCGGCGTTGGGGACTACGTTGGCGTCGACGTCAACGTAGCGCCAACAACAAATCAACAAGCTCTAACTGCGATGCTTGCAGCAAGTGCAGACGCACAAATGGACCAAAACATGCCAGAACGTGCCCAGCACAATACATACTCGCTTTCACACAGACTCTTGCACACTTAAACACACAATTACACACACATGACGAGGCAAACGACGACGATAGCCGACACACTTAAACATATACCTACGAACATACATATGTATGCTTGTTTGTACATACTTACAAGCAGGCGCAGACATAGACAACAACATGGACCCCAAAATGCCAAAATACCGAAGACGACGAAATTGAAAAAAGTAATAAACGTAAAGCTATTACAAAATCTGATAATGGTCCACCGCTGGCAATGGAGCGAAGAAACACACGTCCACACAACACACACACACACACACGCACGCTAACAGAAAAAACCACAACAGAGCGTCTGCTGCTAATGTTAGTAACTCTACCACAGAAAGAGAGAGAGAAAGAGAGCGAAAGCGCATGGAGTGAAACGCAATGGCAATGAAACATAACATAATAAGGCGCGCAAACAAGTAGAACAACATTAAAAACAACTGTGAAATTGTGACAAAATGCAACATACAACAGCAACAATAATGAACGTTGCAGTAGTAGCAGCAGCAACAACAACAAACAGCTAAAAGGCAGCAATGTAGCACATAAAAAGTCACTAGAATATATTCGAAGCAACAACAACTGCGAGCAGCAATGTGGCACATACATACAAGTATAGTAAAAAGCAGCTACAATATGTGCAGCAGCGGCGGCAGCAACAACACCAATTTTTCCAACAACAGTGACAACAACATAAACATTGAAAACGCGCGTGTGAGCGCCCCAAAGGCTGCCCCAATATTAATTTCACGAATGAACAACCCTTGAATAACCATGCACTTCATGTACCGTTATTATGGCTTAGCTACGTGAGCGAGAGACAATTGCCACGAAGCGCAGACGATGATGCGAAGCAATGCGATGCGACGCGACATTTGAGAGATATTGCAGCGCAGTAAAGAGAGGCACAGAACGAGAGCGGGAGAGCAGACGTTCAGTGCATGAGCGAAGCATGAGAGACGCGTGGGAGCAAAAGCTTTCCGAATTTGGTCAACAGGCGCCGAACAGCGCGCAACAAACGACAGACCACTTGCTCGTGTCCTCTTGTGGCATGCGGCAATAGCAACGGATATTGTACACGTACACACGAATGTATGTATGCATTTGTGTGCGTGTCTGTTCTGTTTGTGTGTGGCCGACTGTGTGTGCGTGCAACGCTTTTTTCATTGTGCATTTCCCAGAGGTGCATTTTTCTGAAAATCTAATTTGAGAGATTGAGATTGTTTGGTCTTTCAATGTTCTGCTCGTTCGTGCTGGTTGTTCTGATTCTTTCTGGCCGTTGCCACTGCTGCTCCGCTTGCAATTTTTGTGCCGTTGCCAACACATACAACAACAGCACCACTAGCAGCAGCAACAACAACAACAATTTGCCCAACAATTTTTATATGCAGTAAAACATATTGGGGAGTTATTATTCAGTTGTCCTTTTTGCCGGCGCTGTTCCGCCACTGCTGCTGTCACCCGCTGCCACCTCTCACTTTAATTGAGCGCGCTCGTTACGCTGTCGTAATTTTTTGAAAAATATACATGCCTCGTCTCGCTTTGAGTGTAATAATGTTTCAGACTTCAGACAACAACAGCAGGAGCAGCACCATCAGCATCAGCATCAGCATGAGCATCAGCCCTAACACTCAGCATTCAGCATGAGCATTCGCATTCGCATCCACATCAACATCACAGCTTCAACATCAACATCAGCGTCGCAATGGCTTCAATCATTGTGTGCTGTGCTGTCTGCGGTTTGACAAACATTTTTCACTGGCTGTGTCAAACGCCCTCGTCTATGTATGTGCGTGTGTGTGGTACTGTGTCTGAGTGTCTGTCTGTGTGTGAGTGCGTGAATATGTTTGTGAGTTTTATGGTCGTAATGGGAATGAGTTGAACAAGAGGAAGATTGAGCAGCAACAGCAGTAATATCAGCAAGCAAAAACGAAGGGATTGCTCTGGGTCTGCATCGGAGCATGAGTGCGAGTATGAGTCTGGCCCTGATTCTGGTCTGGTCTGGTCTGCTCTGTGCTGCTTATTGGGTTATGTTGTGATTTTAATTTTGAAATCACAAACAAAACTCACTGATACATGCGAATTTATGTTTATACATACATATATATTTATGTATTTGTATTTGTATCTGTGCTTGTGTTTGCTTTTGTTGCGAGGCGATAAAGCGCCTTACAAGATTTGTGTGCTCCTTGTTTTCAATTTGATAAACCGTCTTAGCATTATTTTACGACTTCGTTTACATTTCTTTGTACCACAACATAATAAAAAATCCAAAAAATAAAAAAAAGTAGCGATACTCGTACATCCACAAAATATGCCATGAAAATATCAAAATGTTAAGCAAACGCGTAAATCAGTAAACCTCATTGTTTTATGTATTTTAACTTCTTTTTATTTTTGTATTTGATTTTGTACATTTTTCGTGTGCATGTGCTTGTTGTTATTGTAGTTGTTTTGCAATGCTATCGAATTTCAGAAGTCAAAGCCAGAGTCACCCAGGGCCCATTGTAAATGTAATTTGATATTTAATTTGCTTTCGCTGCCGCCGTCTGACGCTCGATGACTGTTCCGGACGCAGCTGAGTGTAATCAATCAGCGACGAATGCGATGCTGCTCCTGCCGTTGGCATCGCTTCCTGGTCCAAGAGTCGTTTGTCCCCCATACCTATACAGTCTCTGGGTATTTTATGTGTGTGTCTGTGTGTGTGTGTGTGACAGAGTCACTTGGCGATTGAGTGTGTGGCGCAGTGTCGCATTGTTCAGTTGTCTTGTTAGAGCAATATGAATGTCATTTATCAATGGAATGCCGTTTTTTCCCAACAACAAGCGGACGCTGTTACAAGTTGAAAGATTTCTTAGCTATTGATGGATTTTTTTTTTTTTCATTGCCTTGCCTTAGTAATAACAATAAAATTAATCACAAACTACTATATAACAAAAATGAAACTAATAAGAAAGACAATAACCAATAATGTTACAATTTCTATTAATTGCTAGTGAAAAATGAAAGGAATAATAATAATACAAAAGTAATGTTGAAAATTAGCCACAATCTCTAACCAAAATAACATGCTTAGTGCGCCCCACTGATTATTTAAATATATAAATATAATTCAATATAAATTTTTAAATAATTACCTTTGAAATTTGTGTCGTATGAGTAATAAAAAAATAAAATTAAATATTACTCATACGACACAATGGAAATATTGAACTTCATCGTGTTTTTTTTCCTTTTTTCCCCCCCTTTTTATGATGCAAATCGGCACGCAGATTTGACATTTTTTTAAATATCTCATTTTTAGACCTTAAATAGTTTTCTGAATCATGCAATAATGCGATTCGAATCGATTCATAATCAGGAACGAGCTCACATTGTGGGATTCCTGTAAGCTCGTTGAGCTCGTTATCTGCACATTCCCAAAATCACAATTCAAAATGAGTCTTCGGCCCTGAAATCGTTATACTTACAAGTAGAAAGCCAAACCAATAACTATATATTTTAACATATCCCAAAAATGTGAAGCCGTTTTTATTGTTGTATTCGATTATCTACATACTGACACACGAGTAGTGAGTACGTGTATAATCAACTTTAGCAAGATGCATTTACGAACTAAGCTATACAATTTTGGATAGCTCATTAAATGTATGACTTAAGGGCATATTACACGCATAAACCTAAATAGACTACATGCTAGGGAAACGAAAATGTTAGCAAGACAGAATGACCTGGAAGTTTATAAGGGTAATAGATAATGTTTCATAAGATATTATAAAATATGAACTTCAGCAGCGTGTAAAGTATTCCGAAGGCTAACGCATAGACTATGGCGAGCGTTGAATAATGCAGCACCTTCAAGCTGAAAGAGTAGAGTATATGTTAGAAAAAATAGTATAGCATACAGCAAGGCGCTCGCATACCGTTCATAACGCTTGATGGACTCTGGAATGTTGCTGGGATCATCTTTCACCACATACAGACGCAGGCCATACAGGCTCACGCGAATCAGATTTGTCCAATCCAGCTGACGCATATCGAAGGCAAACAGTCGCTTGTCACGATCGTCCAGTTTCTCCAACAAATGGCGCACATTATCATTATCAAAACGGAACTCATTCGAGCTAAAGAACTTCAAGACGTTGCTAAACTTATGAATTTTACGATAGATCTTCATCATTCTGCGGTTAATTAAGACGTTAATTTAGAATAAGTATACACATATAATCTCATAGAATCGGAAACAACTTACCTAGGCTTCTTGCCAATGACCACCATAATCATATCCATAAACATGGCGGGCAGTACGTGATAGAAAAAGCACAAAATGTTATATTGCCACATATGTGGGACGATCGTGAAGCGGGGATACCAAATAGATTTTCTCATGGGTATATCGCAGCCATACGCAAAGCCATCCTCCATATAACGTCGCCAAGTAACCATATTTTCAGCATCGGGCACATAATTGTAAATGGGCGGCACATCATAGCTGCAATTATTTAAGAACAAATTCAATTTTCCAAATTAAATAAATAAATGGGAACATAAAATATAAAAGTGAATGGCATTTCGTTAAAAGAAGGTTTACAAATGAGTTGAAATTACCTAAAAATTCGGAATTTAATGTAGATTTTTAAGGTTTACTTATTGCATCAAACTTTTTGTATGAGGAATGTCATTTAAAAAAATGTAAGCACATGTAACAGAAAACTTATTAAGACATTTTTAAAAAAACTTGTAAACATATTAAGACATTGTGGAAACTTCACATTTCAGCAGAACAAATAATATTTTTAAAACTAAATTCTCCATAAAGAAGGTTTACAAATGAGTTGAAGTTAACTAATGAGTTGGAATTTAATGCAGATTTTAAAGGTGTCAAACTTTTTCTATGAGAAATATATCATTTAAAAAAATTTAAGAACATGTAACAGCAAACTTATTAAAACATTTTTTGTAAAAACTTGATGTTAACATATCAAGATGATTCTAGAATTGGAAGTTAAGACATTGTAAAAACTTCACATTTCAGCAGAAAATATAATATTTTTTCAAAAATGTTTGTAAAGTATATCTTCCATATTAAAGTGTTCATCAGCAAGATAATTTATGCGGATAATCTTAAAACTATGAACTAATCTTCTAGTAAAGGTTTAAATTAAATTCGAATGCTAAAAATTCTAAAAATTCATTTCGTTGCAGTCCTCTGGCAAAAACATTATTGCGCTAATTGAGCGATTGTTCAATAATTTTGCACAATTCCTCTAAACGATTTCTCCTCTAAACCCTGGATAAGCTTAAATAAAATATTTTCCCATTGATTGAAAATGTTCTTCCTCAATCAACACCAACACAGAGTGGCGTTCAAGAGAAGTCTTTTAGCATTGCCAAAAAGTTGCCTTCATTTTATGTGGCATTAAGGCAGAAATTCAAGCAATAAAATGAATTTTCACTTATATGGACAGAAAAGGAAGCGTCTATAATTACAGGTATAGTAATTCTTACTCAATGATTCAACAAGAATATTATAAATACTATGCAAATGCCATATTTTGCAAAATAGTTTCTATTGCAACACATAGTATCAGCATCTCATACTAAATAAGCTACTTACGTGTTACGGGCAATATCCCAGGCGCTTGCCAGCAGGGCATTAACACACATATCCACAGGCACAATATGCGCCTTGTTGTCCACATCCCCGGTGAACACTCGCATCACACCCGATCCGATGCCCACAATGACACCGCACGGTCCGTACATATTGTCAATCCAGCCAGTAATCGGCTCACGATATGTAGTGATCACTAAAAGAAATGGAGGGAGTCAGCATCATAAGCATTTGATAGGGATACGCGATCCTACCTATGCCTGGCCGAAAGATGGTCACCGGTAAGTTCTGTGCATCCTGCTGCACCACATTCTCAGCCAGCACTTTGGTGAAGGTATAGGTGTTCGGATAACCGTTGATGATGGTCGGCGCTAGGGCGTTGAGGGTCGTCTCATCCAGACATTCGCTCAGTTTGAAGGCATTGTCGCCAGTAATGCTGGGATTGTAGAATTTCTCCTGTATGTAACGCATATTGCAATGCGCAAATGCCGTCGATACATGCACGAGGGCCTGTTGAACAATAGAGTATTATAGATGCGATGCACTTTTAGATACATGTATGAGTAAATAAATGTATTCAATTTTTTAGTCAGGTTGGTCTATGCGTTCGTCTCTATGAACACCAAGAACTTTTGGCTTTTAGACTACTTTTAAGCAAACCATTTTTGAAAGCCTCATTATTTCATTTAGTTGCCAAGGGATCGTTCAGTGCACAAATCTCTCTTTTTACATATATTAAGATCTCTTAACTTTTATGCATAAGATGTCTTGAGAACATAAAGCATTTAGAAGTTTTATATATTATTCAAATCTTTTCTATTTATTTACGTATCTTGAGTACCTTTCAATAATCTGAAGTTTTATGAAAATAAGGTAACTATGTATCTTATTTAGCTGTGACATAGAAGAACCGTATGAAATATCTTTCATTTCTGTTTATTTCGATATCGTAATATAATTTGATGTTTGTAAGCCTCTTGTTGTGCGTCTTCATAATCTGAAACTTTATATATAGTAAAACTTACTTTTGCTACAATTAACCAAAATTTGAGACACAATCAGTTATCAATTATTTAGTTTTTCTAAAATCTTCTTCACCTTACACATGGTTATTCTTCATCGACGACGTTCTTAAAACTAAGTTGCTTTATTAGTTTTAAGTTTTATTAATATAATTATAACAAATGATTTTTATCAAGTCTGATCTAAGCAACCAATTTTTGCGACTACAAAGAAAACTACTTAAAGTTTAGTTAAAATATATGTAGGTGTTATATGTTGGTTTTTGTATAATGTTAAAGTCCTAAAATTGCTTTCAGCCTTCATTACAAATATAAACATTCAGACAGATATTCACTAGCGAAATAAAGCAACGCTCTATTGTAACAATTTAAGTCTCCAATTAATATTTTTAAGTGATATTGTATCGAAATTCATGACGTTACCTTTACAAAGTAAATGCGAATATATTTTTCATAGCAATGAGAAATATTAAGAGTTTCTTATTTATGCTTTTAAGCTTACCTTCAAGTGCACAATCTCTTTGGCCAATTTTATGACTTCCTTGGTGCCATGCACATTTATGGCAATCGCCATTTTCAGCTTTTCATCGAAGCGAACGGTGGCCGCACTGTGCAAGACAATGTTAACATTTTCTTTTATGGTTTCCCGCTCGTCTGGCGAAATCCCCAAGCCCGGCAGTGAGCAATCACCGCTGATTATTGTAATTTTGCAGCGATACTTCGGATTGCATGCCTTCATTTGGTCGAAAACCTACAAGAGACAACATGGATAAATGAATTTAGAGTAGAAAAAAATGCATGCTCTTCTCCACCCAAGTTAATTTAGTGCTCAATTACTTAAATTACAAGTTACATTTTTAGTTAGGTGGTCAAAATATTCCATAAATCATACTTACCGGATCATTAAAGAGATCCTCGATGCGTGCAAAAGCATCTTTGCCCTTTTTTGTGCGTATCAGCAAATATATTTGACCCACTTCCGTGACGCGCAGCAGCTTCTCGATGATAACTACAAGTTATCAGATTTCGAATAGCAATTATGTTAATTTTTAGAAAATAGAGCAAAAAGTTCGCACTTACTTTTGCCAAAGAAGCCCGTGCCGCCTGTGAGAAAAACGCCCTTGTCCTTGTAAAACATTTGCATCGGCGATTCATCTGCATAATGGAATAACGAAGAGTGAAGTAGTGGGATGAGAAACGACTGTGTCAAGACGTGCAGCGCGAGATCAATGTAAACAGCTAAATGGCTATTAAACAATTAGCCAATTTAATGCGCATCATTGGGCCGCATATTGTTTGCCACCACCAACTAGACGTGCGGCTCAAATTTAAATGCAGGCGTCAAAAGCCACTTGAGTTTCGCATAATTCACGCGCGTGCCCAAACAAACACGCACAAACACACAAACACACACACACACTTATACAGCGTTATGTGCATATTGACTAACACAGACGCACACACAGACGTACTCACAAACACCCACACACGCAGAGCAAGTCGCATGCGACGACTTGCATTTTTGCCAAAGTGTCAAAATGGCAACAACACTTGACGGCTACGTCGTCGTCGCCGTCAGCGTCAACGTCAGCGTCGATGTCGGCGTTGACACAAAGCCCCTCGAACTTCCACTTTGACGCTAGAGATGTGCGTGAATTGTTGTAAGAAATCGTACGAGAAATGCACGCAAAAAATTTAGAATTTCACCCAGAGGATTTTTGTTGCTTACTTTTGCAGCAGGCCGTTACTCTACTCACCGTAGAAAGTGGGCGTGTACACACTTTTATACATGGTTTAATAAGCATTAGTGTACACACTGAGAGCATGCCCGCTCTCAGAGGTACAGAAGACATAGGTAATAAAGAGAACATTACTTTTTGATCGTTCCCTGTGCAAGACGGCTGTAAACGTGAAGTGTACTTTGTGCAAATAAATACATACATACATACATACAAGTATGAACATATTTAAATACCTGACTTTGCTACTAAGCTTTTGAAATCGAATGCAAGTAAGCACGGCTATATTTTCGCTGTATAATCCCAATTGTTTGTATTATTTTTTTTTTATGAAAAACGTGTAAAATTTTTAAACCATTTCTTTGCTACTTCCATTTAAATACACAAAAGCTAACTGCACCTTTTTTTTGAATTAAGCGATATTTCAATAAACATGATTCAAACACATTAGGAGGTAGATATACTTGTATGATAAGTGTGATCATAAATACTTGCTCTACTTACTGATCGCCGGATTTATTAAGTTCACAAATTTCTACTATAAACTAATTTAAAAAAAAACAGGTAATTAGTAAGATAAATCAAAGAATTCTTTTAGAAAAAAAATCAGATTTTCAATAATTCTGTTGTTGAAATTGTCGTCCATTACATTTATTTTTTACAAGTTCTTGACGTCTCGCAATGTTTTAAAAGCTGAGTTTTCTTTTTGCTCTTATACAATTTAACGCAATATTTTTCTAATTAAGATAAATCAAAGAATTCTTTTAGAAAAAAAAAAAGTTACACTCTTAAAACTTGTGCTGCAACTATATTTAAGCCCTTGTGTAAATATACCAGAAATATTTTGATTTTTTGTAGAAAATAACTTTTTAGTAATATTTGCTTAAAAGTTAGTGAGAATTTTGTTCGATTAGATTAAAGAGTTTGCTTTTGCGCAATTCTGAGTAATTTACCTAATTTTCATATGACGAGTTAGCCTTCATTTACCATGTGTACCAACAGAAGTATAATTTTTTCTTGAATAGTTTCTTTGCCTGATTCGCGACTCTTTTGTTTACTTTGAAACGGCTTATAAAGACCTTAACCTTGGAGCTTTTTGGACGAGTTTTAAATTTTGAAAGCCCCTTTATCACTTTTTGGCGGACAAATATTATATAGTAATGTTCATACAATGTTCATACAACTTTAGTCTTGGAGCTTTTGAGACGAGCTTATGTTTTTCAATTTTAAAAGCCCCTTTATCAGTTTTTGGCGAAAAAGTATTATAATGTTCACACAATCTTTATTAAAAATTAAAATAACTTCTCATTGCGTTTTTTCTGTCAATACGTTTGAGCTACATTTAATCGAACTTTAAACTATTAATTATATGAACTATTTATATATTGCAATAAGTTGTAGTATTCAAAAAAGATCTGTATATTTTATGTTTTTACATTACCTAATACCCATTATGTGTATTATGTATTCACGTTTAAAACTAACTTCGTGAGCATAACGTGCTCTGAGAAGTGTTTGTTGTAACGCGCACATTTCTAGCCAGAAGCGACATTGTTGGCTCTATCGGTTGTTGTTGTTGTTATTGTAAGTCATTGTTGCAGTTGGTGCTGTCGTTGCCTTTGTTGCCATTGTTGCTTTCTGTTGTTGTTGTTGTTTTTGTTGCTGGCAGCAGCCACTTGTGGGAAACTCATAAATATTTGCAAGTTAGCAGCTCGTTGAGCCATTCATCTAGCAAATATGTATCTACACAGATGCCATGCTCTCCTATCTATCTGTCTGTCTCCTAAAACACAAGAGTGTCCCACACACACACACACACATGGATACACATAACTAATGCGTATTCCGGCACTCATTCCATTATCGATTGTCAAGGCGCTGGGAGCGAGTAATGTAATGCATCTTGAAGGTGCACCTCTGTTAGTTGTCTGCCTAATTGCCAATTGTCGACGTAAATCACTGTCAGCCAATGGGCAGCTGGGGGCATGGGGCATGGGGCAGGCTTGGCATGCTACCAAAATGCGCACACACTGGGGCGCACTTAGTCACACACACACATACATACACTATTGCGAACGCAGTCACTCGATAATTGCATAATAAATGCAACATTATTGGGGGCAAGCGAATATGCGAGGGAACGCAAGCGATCCAGCTATTTATTTCAAGCACCCCAGCAAGCTGATATCCAGCGGCGTCAAACATAACAAACACACTCACACAAATATAACTTAACACCTATTCTGCTGTTGCTGTTGCTGTTACTGTTGCTGCTACTGGCACTGCTACTGCCACCTGCCTCTCCCCACTCCCCACTCCGCTCACGCATCATCTAATGCCGCGCACTCGCAGCCACAAGCCAACCACTTGGCGCGCTCATTCAAATGTTTTGTTTACCTATGCTAATTGGTTTAAATGCAACTCAAGCGCACTTCTCGCCGCACACGAAAACGAAGCCAAGAGTTACAGTTTTCCACCCCCTCATGAGGACGCCACACCCCCTCACCCACGAATCCAACAGCCGCTCCTCTTGAACGCAGTTGCCATTGTTTGTGAACGCTTCGAAATTGAGCCGCGCTGCTTGACTTGCCTCGCAATTCATTCAAAGCTTTTGAGCGCTTTGGGGCATTCATGTTCAACGCCGTCGATGCACAGTGGTACGAATTACAATTAATGTGAGTTAAGTTAAGTCCACGAGTTTATATGCATTGTGATAGAGAGTTTTCAAATTTAATTAAATTGTTCATGTTTGAAAAGAATACGATTTCAGCGCAATTTTTTAGAGTATTTCATGATTTGAAACCAGCTATTTAAATATGCGGTTTTGTACTTAAGCCAGGAAATTGCGAATGTGCACGACTTGAATTCAAACACTTTACTTTTTGTTACGTACAGGCATCAAAAACTCATATGCGAATACCAAGAGGCTTTAATTGGATCAATTGAAAAGAAATACAGTTTTTTCTCAATTTCTATGCCTACAAAATTGTCAACTATTTTGACCTTTTTTTTTAATTTTAACACCAAAAATTGTTTGGTATAATAACAATTCTGGATAGATTTACTTTTTACTTTACTTTATTTAATTGTTTTTATTTTTAGGTGCATTTCGAATAGAAAACTAAATAAATATAAGCACATCGGTTTCAATTATAATTATATCTCATTCTTCGATGTTAATCGATAGATTATAGCTATACTCCTAACAAAGGTTTTTCAACATTTCAATGTCAAATGAAACGTTTAGATTAAATTACCATAAACAACAAAATTGTTTGGTTTTTTCAATTATTCATTTCAATTATTAACACATATTATCAACATTGAAGAATTGTTTCATTAATTTATCTACTACTTTTCAGGTATAGAAAAAAAAACTTTTTGCAACAGAAATTAATGTGCCCCAGAAATTTTGGCATTATAGATTGAAACAATTAATTATATGCACAAAATGTTATTATTACTTTCAGTATAATATATAACTTTATCTTCTTTATTCTTAATTTGTATCAAAAATCTATGCATCGATGTCAAATTTTTCCAGATACTGTATATAGTATATCAGGTAAACACTTACAGTCTTTGTAATTCTCTTTGTTTAACACCGATATTTTTTTACACTCACATCACTAACATGTAGACGGATAATTACTGTACTCTAAAACCCAATTTTGATGAGAATTGGGGTCTATAAAATATCACAAACCACACTTTAAAATTAAATTATTGAAGACAGGTTTCCCTAATTTGTCTCTAAATGGTTTTATTGCATGTTCTTCGATCAGTGCAATAGGACTTTATTTCAAAGATGTAGCTCTCACCTAACGAGAAGTATTTTTACACAAACTGAATTTAAAACGATTATAAATTTTGCTCCCTTCCCCCTTTTAACACGTTGAAAGCCACGTTCGTACACGATTGAAGTTGAAAAATATTTTAAAGATGAAGAATTTGGAAAAAAGTTTGAACAGATTGTCAAAATAAAATGTCTTCCAACTAATTCATAGCTTCATAGCAGACAATGGATCAGGGTGTTATTTGCCTATTCAAGACATACTATACTCTGGATTTCTGGAGTATTCAGTGCTGGGAAGAAAGTGCCTTGAATTGGTAATACTATGTTCAATTCAAATTAAAAAGTGCAGTTACAGAGAATTAGTCGCCCGGAAGCACTGCCAGGAATATGCTGCCAATTTATTGCTATAAATTTTAACCCATTAACTTTGAAATGCATTCCACCGTGCAGCCCCAACAACGCTGCCATCGTCGACGTCACGATGTGGGGCAGCAGCGTTTGGTGCTTGGCGCTTGGCGCTTTACGCTCTTTGAGTGAATTGTCAACAATTGTTGTTGGCTCTTTGGATTTGCGTGCCGCCACCTCACGCTGACAAAAGTCTGTCGCATAATTTGTCAATTTCAACAATTTTTGTTTATACCTCCTACGCTTTGTTGCTAATGCAATTTTTCATAAGCGAGCTTTTTGTTTTTCATTTGTGTTTCAGACGCTGTTTTGCTTTCATTCATTCGTTTAAAAGATGTTTTTGTTGTTGGCGCTATTGCTGTGGCTGCTTAAAGGTTGAAAACTTGCTTAAACTTTGTGGGACTACCATACTTTTCATCTTACCCTTAAAATCGGTGATGAGGTGTTGATGACCATCTATAGCCTTGGCATAGCCGTTCATAATGTTCTTGATCTTGGATTCCTCCATGCTGACCGTAAATGTGGTCAATTGTGTTACTTTGGCTGCAAATGAAATAAATAAATATGTACAGAGCTATTAGAAATAGAAGAGTTAAAAAACGTTCTGGTATATAATCATAATGTTTATGAATTAAATGCTTAAATATTACTTTACAACTCTTTAGGCATCAAGTTGGTTTTGCTTAGCATTTCCTATTTACTCGTCCATAAATAAGCTCTGAAAATCATAGTTTGAAACCACTTCCTTATGTTCAATGTCAATCAACAAATTAAAATTAATTGAGTCTTTTTGACCTTTTTTTACAAAAAAGTAATTTTGGCGAAAGCCATAAGTAGAATAATAATGGTATAATGGTATGACGTCCAATGCCGTCTTAAAATTTGCATACTTATGAGTGTTGTTGACGCTCTATTAGCAGGTCAAAGGCGCAACAAATTTCCCTGCAAGCTATAATAAATTAGTTACGCACTGAAATTGTAACGCATTTGCTATTGAATAGAATAGTTTTTAACAAAAACTTGGTACTTTTTTCAACTATTTTGAGGGTTTCTTATACATTTTGAAATCTTTTCTCTTCATTTTGCAGATTGAGAACTATTCTTTTCTCTTACCCAGAACAGTTTTGCTTAAATATAGAAGAAATCTAACAACACAAAAAAGCCCTGATGTAATCCTGGAAAGTTAAATAAAACGCACCAGCGTACTTATTAATCTGACTGCCGATTTGTTCTTCTATAGCACTCGGGCTTATTTTTTTAATTATATCACAACAATATGGTAATATTTAGTTTTTTTATGAATATAAATAAATCAATTGGACTTTCTCTTAATCGTGTTTCAAGATGTTACAACAAATCATAAGCGTGCATTTTTCTGCTCAGTCTCATAACTTTTTAGAACCCTGTATAAAACATAAAATTATATTGTGTTGAACATATATTTCATATAAAGATAAAGATATTTAAAGGCATATTTAAAGGGAATATTGCGATTTGAAAAGTGTTTAAAACGTCGTTCTTTCTTTTTTGAACTAAAAAATATTCTTGTTTCTGTTGAAACAAGCTACAAAGGTTATTCCAATATGGCTGTTAACGATTAATTAACAAGCCAATGAACTGCTCGTTCAATTCAGGCATAGTTTCGATCACAGGTGTTGGTCATAATTTATGTCCTCACGACCATTTTGAAGCTACATCACACATCAAGAACTCTGCCATGAGATAAACAATCACTTCCAAAAGTTTGATCCATCAATTGAAATGTTTCGCTCTTTTAGCGAACCACCAATTAATTTTAAAACACTACCTAGTATTCTTCCTTTCTTCGATGCTCATTTCTGTATCGAAAATGATTCGCTTCCAATGGAAAAAATGTCGTGCATTTTTTTCTTAAAATCCTATGCCCTATTTTTGATTGCTTTATGCATAAACTGGGATTGTTTTTCCAGTAAGAGATATTTTCCAAACGTAACGTAATTAATTGTAAGGGAGCAGTAAAACTATTGATTACAATAGAAATCATTTAAAGTAAAAATTTACACCAAGCAGAACCAATATCTAGCTTGACAACTCATCTGTTCGAAAAGCACCCAAAACTTAATATTCTTAGTGCCGTTCGTATTTTAAAATATCTCACTTTGTCCTTAGCCACATATTCAGTGAAATGTGAAATTAAATATAATTTCTAAGTAAGTTAGTTGTAAGTACATTTTTACTTTGCTTTACTCTATCAAAAGACCAATTTTCCGTTTAATAAATCAAAAAAATGTTACATACATTTCACTTTGGAAATCCAATCAGCTTTTTCCGAATGCACCATTTTGGTATTTTTTAGTTTGCTGCCTCCGACTGTCTGCTCTATAAATTTGTATGATTTAATAATGCAGTTAAGCTTCGCAGCACAAATCACTTCCTGGGCACAATACTATATAGTACTTAGTATAACTGCTGTCAGGGATAAAGTGTTTCAGTTTCTGTTTAAGCAAAAGTACCAGACGAATACATTCGAAATTATTTGCGACCGCGTCGAGGTAATTTCAATTGCGTCCGCGGTCTCTATGCGACTGTTGGGGGGCAACAGCAAATCAAATATAAGTAAAATTTCTACTTCAGTTTAGCTCAAATTTAATTAAAACTTTTTGCTTTTTGCAGAGTACAGTGGTGACTGCACACACAGTACAGAGCACAAAATAGAGAAATAAACAAGGAAAGTGCGGCACGAAAATTTTTAATGAAGTGCCAGTCGCACCTGTTGGCAGAACAAAAAAAAAAAAAAAAAAAAAAGCCAACCTACAAATAAGAAGTAAATAATTCAAATTAAACTCATATAAAATTTCATAAAACTCAAATTATAAATGCCGGTCGAGTGGACGCATTGCTAAGTTCACACAGAAAGGGGGTAATATCAAAGGATGTGAGCGCCTGCTAAGTCCAGCCACATTTAATTGGTGGCTCCACCAACAGTATTTGTAACAACAAACACAGCCATCGCGACTAGACATGAGGGCAAGGGGTCCGATGGGCAGTTTTGCTTAAAAGTCCAAGAGCCAGCGAACGGCTTAAATATGCAAGTAAACTAAAATATACTGAACTCACACATAAATACATAAATAATATCACAGGTGTGTATAATGTGGCTTGTGGGCTAGTGGTTTCAATGCTCTTCACAAAAAATCCACAAATGGTGCACACAATTATTGCATAGTGTTTGACAACTTGATGTCTTTTCATCGCTGCTCTTCGGATGTTAATAATACCTATCTCTAACGCTGTGGAAGGAATAGTAGTGATTGGTCCTACTTCTGGGAGTTACAAACACGCTCACCAAAAATAAACACTGTTAATTGGAGGGTATAATAAGAAAAAATAGATGGGGTATGCGGCTAATTTCACAATAGATAATTAAACAGAAAATTATATAATTTGGACCGCCTACATTCAATTAAAAAAATCAATATAATTAATTCATTGTTTTGATATTTCGTATTTATATTTGAGTTTTCAAATATAAAATATAAAAATATATTAAATAGTTACTGAATAATAATTAAAACAAAGCATAAATATTTACCATTAAGATATTACGGCTTCAATTTAATATTGAACCATATTACATTTTTTATATGAACCCACTTTAAATAATAAATAGTTACGTTAAGTTTATTTCATAGCACATTTTCATATTTTTCTCAACTATGATTTGACGTTTTTTGTAGTTAATTTTGTTATATAGATTATAAATTATTTTTAATATTTATAATACTTAATTTAATTATTTTTAAATGTAAATATAATACAAATAAAAGAGACAATAATCAACTAGCATTCCCATGTCAAGTATGTGTTAACAATGTTAATTCTTACTTTCGATTATTAATTATTTAAATAAATCCAAAGTTGATAAAAATGTTCTACTTATATAAGTAAACTTTTATAATTTTTTTATTTTTTTATTTTAAGTTTTTTTATTTAATTTTAGTTTACTTTTAATTTAATTTTGTTTTTCATTTATTTTAATTTTTTTAGGTTTTTAAAGAGTTTAAAGACACTTTATTCATCTACTATCAAACGATCAAACGCTTTTGACATTCGTATAAGAATTTCCGACTTTGTTTGGAATTGACTTAAGTACGAGATTCTTTGAATTTTTTCTCTTTGTGTACAGAACCTAGATTATATACTTAATAGTACCTGGATGTTGTCTCTTCAAATACTATAATAAAAAGCCAATTGTTTTATATCAATTATTATCATCTGTCTTTAATTACATAATACTTCTTTAACATAAGAAAAATGAGCAAAATTATATTTTTGTTGCCTTGTGTTGGAATTTTTGTTTAGTCATATCGAAAAAAAAACAACAACAACAGCAGTTTGCTGCGGACGCTCGTCGGGGCGTGCCAACAATTAGAAAAGAAAAAAAAAAAAGAAATGCAAAACTAAGCACATAACAACGACAGCAACAACAAGAATATAAAACAGCAACATGGCCAACCAAGCAGTCAGGCAGAAGTCATGAATAAAATTTAATTGACGATGACGTTGTACAATTTGAATTGCACTCGCAAGTTCAAAGCCAAAAGAAACAAAACCAAAACGCAAAAGCAAAATAAAGATAACAAATGCGAAAAAAATGCAGAATAGAAATAGAGACAAATGATCAAAGAAACCAATACCACAACTACTACTATGTGGTAATAACAATAATGATTACAACTTCGACGACAGCATTGACAACGACAACGACAACGGAATGAATTAATTGCTCGGTTATCTATTTGCAAGCAGCAACAAAAGCAAAGGCGCGAATGGCAAACAATAAAACATATTTTAATGCCCAGCTAAAAAGCTATTGTTGTTCTGTTGGCAGAACGACGACGACGACGACGACCACGACTACGACAACAACAACAACAACATCATGGCTTGCAACAATAAAGCAAGTGCCAAAAGCCACATTAAATAATTGAAAAGAAAACGAACCGAACCGAAACAACAAACTTGTTGCCAGCAACAACACAAAATAAACAATAGGGCTAAAATGTAGTGGAGTGGTGCGGGACTGGCTGGCAGGTGGTTGGGCGGTCAGACGTGCGGGCGGGCGGTCGGTCGATTGGCCGGCAGGCAGGTGGACGGACGAGTCCAAAGAAAATGAAAATTAAATAATTTCTGTGTCGAAGTATCGCACAATTAACCCATATTTGCCATATTTGCAATGGAAACCAAGCGAGCAGCCGGCATGGCTCGGCGTGTTGCATTTCACACTCATTGGGAGCGAGCTGCCGCGACTGCCCTGCCACTCCCCGCACCACGCCTCAGTTACCAACACTCTTCATGCGGCATGGCGCGCAGTCATTCGTATGAATGACGAAAGCAGTTGCAACAAGGGCAGCAGCAGCTAAGGGGGGGCACGAGCAGCTGGTTGCTTGCTCGGGCAATGTGCCAAGCTCACTCACTCACTCACCCACTGACTGACTGAGAGACTGACTGACTGACTTGCCAGTCATGTTGGCCAAAAAGCCACTGCGGATGGTTGCACCACA